GCTGCCTCTCGCTCCACCCAACCTAATTGCGCTTTTTCTGTTTGTGTGTGTTGTCCGCGTCTTTTATCCCTCTCCCATTCCCTCTCCTCTGTTTGTTTAAGATGATATTTTAGGTGGCATCCTGAAACCCACAGTGGCCTCTCCCAACCAGGGCCTGACGCCCAGCACCCAACAGCCAGGCAAACTGGTTTCCGATGACTTGGATTCCTCCCTTGCCAACCTTGTGGGAAGTAAGTGTCCTGTAATTGTTATATCATACAAACAACCTTCTGTATTAGGGCTACACTATTAATTGAAAAGTTGTGAAATGGCTTAGTGTGATTATTGAATCACAAAGGCTGTGATTTAATTAAATGAATATATTCACTAACACACAAACTCATCTCTTCATGTGCTATGAATATAGGTTGCTTATGAAATGCATTTGAGAATTCAACATTTGTTAACCATTTTAACAAATTTGTAATAAGAAGTGATTATAAACTGGCTGCTTTAGTAATATATATTTAATAATTGTATTTAGTAATAATAATAACAACAATAAACCTAATACTATTACTACTGCTACTACAAATAATAATAATTTATATTGTTGCTCGTATTAAATACTAATATATTAAAGAAATATTACTATTTTAATATTTCACTGTAACATAAAAATTAATATATTACATTCAGTATATTGATATATTCACAAAATGTTTGGCCAGATTGTGCAGCCCTGCAAACAAGCATAACAAACCTTGAGCCTTTTTTTTTTTTTAATCACAATCAGACTTTTTTTTTTTTTTTTTTTTTTCAAATTGTGCAGCCCTACTCTGTATTCTGGTACTAATAATCAGGAACAGGACATGTAGTTTTATTTATTGATTTAGGATCCTATAAAAGTGAATTTAGCATTTCACAATGGCTGGCATAGTCCTCACTGGTTTTCTCTTTCTTCCAGATCTTGGTATTGGAAATGGAACACCAAAGAAGTATGAACATTCGCCGCTCATCTCAATCCAAATTCATAGTTCTCTTCAAACTCAGTGACTTGATCATGGTTGTTTCTTCTGTTCCTCCTCAGTGACATTCATTGGAGTCAACCCGGTGAAAAGAAGCTGACTGGAGGAACCAACTGGCAACCAAAGATGGCTCCGACCACAACATGGAACCCTGCCTCCATGGTGAGGACAACAATATGTGCTTTCTCTGACTCGAATGAAACGAGACTTGTGCTAGAAACAACTGTCATAAACCAATAGACAGACAATAGCTGGAGTTCCTCCACTGATTCTGAAACATGGGCTCTGTTCCAAACCCTAATGAGCTGCCTTACTGTCTGCTGTCTAGATGGGCAGCTACCTTCTAAGACTGCATCATAAGTGACTGAATTGAAAGGCTGTACATTATCAAAAACTCCATTTCATGAGTCCAATGTAGCATCCCGATGCTTGGACGATGTATACAGACACAAATGGCTCGCAAAATGCTAACATTTGTTTTGAATATGTCCAGTTATCAATAGAGAGGATAGTTTACCATGGTTTACACTCCTGTCTCTGCAAACATTTGTTTAACCTGCTTTATTATCATGTGATGTTGGAACTTTGAGTCAATGATGCCTTCCATTTACATCGTTATCTGTGTTTATCATTAACCGTGAACATCTCTGTTGGTGCTCGTATGCTCTTGTGACATCGAGACATCGTTTGACAATTTTTGAGTTGGAAGTACAACTTCAAGTGGCGTTCTGTTGCACTTTTCCAAATTGGAAGTTGATTCCATTATACTTTGGAGTTAGCATGTGGCTAAGCTAACAAGTTTACACAAATTTTGGATGAAATAGTACATTTAATTAGAACTATTTTCTAGTGATGTGTTTCAGGACTAAATAATTATCAACATCTTTATATATATATATATATTTTTTTTTTTTTTCTTAGTTTTCTAATAAAATATAATTATATAATATTATAAAATTAAATGTTATTTATTTATTCATTTATTATTATTATTATTAGTGTATAATGGGATTGTCTTATGCTATATAGTATATATTCGATGTTTTAGCAATACTTTTCAGGACTGAATAATTATTTATTACTATAATTATTTCCCTCAATTCTGTATTTAAGTATTTATTTACTTATTTATTTACTTTTTATATAATTATTTTTGTTATAATTGAATTTGATTTATTTACTAATTTCACTGAGGTTGAATATATGCGATCCTGCTTTTATTTGGACCAAAATGAGGTCCAAAAATGAGGACTTGATTTGCTGCCTACTGTCCTTGAAACGTTGCCTAGGTAGGCAGCACACTAGCATTTGGAACAGAGCTGTAATCCACTCTCAAAAACAGCTGGAATGTATTCTGTCTCGTCTTTGTTTACAATGTGTTTGTGTGAGCTCACAATGCGAGATGTTATTGTGTTGTATGCCCTCTAATTGTGTTTGTTGCGTTGTGTAACCATTCTCGTCCGACGGGATAAACAGAATGGCATGCTTTTCCCGCAATACGTAAGTCAAAATGCTGAGTTGAACCATTCTCTGAAACGCATGAGAGTATTAACCCCACCGCCTTTGCTTTGGTCACAGTTTATGACCTGTGTGTGTTTGAGTGACCAAAATTGCACTGAAACCCATGAGCTGATCTAACCAGATGTTATCTCGGCATGGCTGACCGCTCTGTTCCTCCTCTACCCTTTCCTCTCATCGGTTTCATTTGTTTATCGCCATCAGCAAACAACTGTAGTCAATGGGCTAGTGTTTCCAGCGGAGGGTTTACCGGACAATGTGCAAAGTCCAATAAAGTAGGTAATCAACCAGTTCGAGTCATACCTTGGTAAACATTCTGATGGAAACACTTCCACCGGAGAGTTCTTTCTTTCGTAAACAGGATATGCTGAGCTGGATTGATCAGTACATCAGCATAATTTAGTCATATGTACTCCTACTGAGTTGTTTGTGCTTGTCAAACATTTCTGTAGGTGCTGTTTCTCCGAAGATTACCGTACGACTGAGCTGTTTGCTTACCCTAGCTAGAAGTTTACGAAGTACCTTTTGTATCTTAATGAGATTCCTCAAAGTCTGCAAACACATTTATCTTTCATCATCTTGAGATTCATTGCAGCCTGTTCTAATTTAGTGGGATGCACACAGAAAAACACACAAGGTTGTGTTTTATATTAGGCTGTAAATTGAATTCTATTTTTATAAAATGGATAATTATGGCTCCAAATAGGACAAACTGTTCAGAGCATTTATTGCATTTTATGTCAAAATGTTTTTTTATTGTTCAAAGGTTTGAGGATTGGTAAGATTAAAAAAAATGTTTTTGAAATAAGCCACGTATGCTCACCAAGGCTGTATAATTTTGGTCATAATATAGTAAAACCAGTAATATTGTGAAATATTACAATTTAAAATGTAATTTTTTCCTGTGATTTCAAAGCTGAATTTTTAGCATCATTACTCTAGTCTTCAGTGTCACATGATCCTTCAGAAATCATTCTAATATGCTGATTTGCTGCTTAAGAAACTTTTCTTATTGTTATTAATATTGAAAACCATTATGCAAATTTTTTTTTTTTCAAGATTTCTTGATGAATTGTCAAAAGAACAGCATTTATTTAAAAAATTTAAAATCATATTACTTTTATCAATCACAGTTATAGCCTCTATACCCGCACAACAAGGAGTGTTGTGACATCAAACTCGTCATAGTTAATGGGTAAATGCCCTCAGATCATGTTCTATAAAAATGTTTATTTTACAATTTATTGGTCGTTTGGTCACAGTCACTCTGCTGAATTTAGGAGGCCATTCAGAGTCCGTCACACATTTCAATGGTGCACAAGTGGAAATAAAAGTGTGTCTGTGGCTACCGAAGGCCTTACTGAGAATCTCACAGCTCCTTCACAAAGAGCTTCTCTTTTCCACCAGAGCCCTGCACCTGCAACTAATCACTCTGCCTTCAAAAAGGACACACACACACACTCTCGTACAATTCTCGCTCTCTTCCTCTTTATCCCCTTGCCTATATTCCTGTTTTGATGCTCTGGTTGGAGTGTGTAAAGACATCTCTAATGTTTCCCAGATGTGAGCGGCTCTCCGTGAAGAGAAAAAACTAAAAGACATCTTTTATCATCAAGTATCTTTTGCAAATTCATTTTAAAAAAGCGTTCTGCTAGTCCACAAAGTTGCCTTTGTTCACTGTGTGTAAACGTGGAAACTGAGATGGCGTGTCTGGGGTAGTTGTGATCTCATGGCTGCTCAAGTGGAAATTTCTCTCTTAAGGTGTTCAGAAGAATCGTCCTTTCATGCTAAAAAAAGCTGATGATGTTTTACCTGTGGTATTTCTGTACTAACGCCGAACGTGTCCTCCTAGGCTCCTTCTGTCATGGCCTTCCCTGCCACGACGCCCACAGGAATGATGGGATATGCAATGGTAAGTACAAACTGGGGATTTGTGCATTACTCACTCCATCATTGTCAGAAGTATTAGCTTTTCAACTCCTGTATATTCAGAGACTGCAGTTATGCTGTCAGTCCCCACTGGAGCAGTGTGGGTGTGCGGAACACGGTGAAAGGCTCTCTAGAGTCCGAAGCACCTCTTCATTGAGCTTAGGGCAACATTAGAGACTTTTTTTCCTCTGTGTTTTTTATTCATCACACTAACAGGGATGACTACATTGATTTCTCCTCCATGAGCCCTTAGCTTTAAGAAAGAAAAAAAAAGATGGGCATCAGGTAGTGCATGTTGCATGTTCTTGAGTGTAAGACTGGATAGTCTAGTGTGTTTATTTGTTAAGCATGAGAGAGGACATAAGATTGTGATGTAGCACGTTATTTTATTCATAATAATTATATTTTAAGTTTTATTTAAATTATTAATATTATTACTTTTATTTATTTATTAAACATGAAAGAGGACCCATGTTGTAAGTCTTAATGTAGTACCTTATAATTTAATTCATAATCATATATGTTTATTTTTTAATAAAATAAATTGTATTTATTGTCATATTGTATTTTAAATTATATATATATATATAAATATAGTGTTTATTTATTAAACATGAAACAGGACATATTTTAAAATCCTGATTTAGCACCTTATAATAATATTACCATTAATTATATATTAGTAGTAATTTTATTTTTAAATAAACAAACAAACTAATAATTATTTTAATTATTATATTAATTAGTGTTATTATTATTGGAAATAAAACATGTAATTACAGATGTAATTACATGCAGGTATTTTTAAAATATAAGTACAATGTAAAAACAAGTATGTACACAATAAGTGCATTATACCAAATGCTTAATTTAAATGTAAGTGCATAGTTGTTAAGGCGAGTTAATATAAAGTTGGACTTAAATTATAATTAGAAACTTTAATATTGTAATAATTTAAATTATAATAAAAAAAAATTTATGTATTAATTATTTTTTTTTTTTATTATTCAACTGAGTGGCACATAAGCATTCTATCTATAGTCAACGTTGAGTCTTTCCTTAAGTCCTTTAGCCATCTTTTATAGATTTACTGTTTGCTCAATAAAACCCAGTAATAGAGGATGAGTAAGCCATACAGGTATAGTCAGCGCAGGCTGTGGTTAATGGCTTAAAGTGAGGATGGCGCTCTGTAAATGACGCTTTTCAATAACAGCATCCGCATTTACATAACCGCTATTATGACTCATCCATTTTGGATCCTCCAATCCCTGCATGTACCTCAGCTTTTTTTTTCTTTTAAGAGTTAGAACTTTTCGAAAAATATGAGTTGCTCCAAAAACAAAAGAGGAAGTTTCTGTGTGTAACTTTTTCTGTCTGCTGCGAGTCATGTAGCTCAGGTGGAGTTAAACAGTAACTCCAGTCAGATCAGATGAGAACAGTGGGTTCAGACGGGCTCACATTCCTCTTTGCTGAGTTTCAGTACTGTCAAACAAAATATGATGTAAACAGAGGAACTTCATAAGCCATTGGAATTTAAAGTTCCAGATAGAAACGCTATGTCCCAAACAACCATGACAAGCATTATGAATTGCTCACTTGGTTTCTTTATTCCTTTAACTTTGGTTTTATTCCTTTCTAGCCCCCTCAAATGGGCTCCATGACCATGATGACCCAGCCCACCATGATGTACACTCAGCCTGTGATGCGGCCGGCCAATCCCTTCGGCCCAGTCTCAGGGGCACAGGTATGATCTCTCACACAATGAGGTTACAAATCAATTGACCCTCAAACAATCCAATTTAGAAGTCTTAAGGTCTGGTCACATGTTTAGCGAATGTTCGCAGATGAAATCTAGTAATTTTTAATAATTTTGCATTGACCAACAGAGTCTCTGTGTGAGTCCTTTTAGTTGGCGAAATTTTGCTAATGTGACCACACCTTAATACAATCAAATTAGTCCTTTTCAGAGCACAGTAGCATCCATAGGTCTCCGCTTTTTGATAAATGTTTTTGCATTGATCCCGCCCCATGATTCTTCTTGTAATAGAGCCATCCGCTCAACCCTGACTGATCAGGCTCTATTCTAGAAGCGGCTCCATTCAGAATGCGCTCTAGTTTGTTCACCTTCATGTACCATCGCAGCGCAATTCTGAATATGAAAGCTATACTATGGGTGGGGTTGGGAGGGGTAAGACTCTGTTGCCCAGAGATGGAGGACACAGCGCTCATTTTGTAATTTGTCGCGGTAAAAGTTATTGTACCGTCTATAACGAAACACATGGGTGTTGAGAGAGCGCGAGTGCCGGAATGTGGTGGGTTTTCACTCAAACACGGCTTCACTTTTTTCCATGGAATGCGAAAAGAGGGATCAGGGAGGGATTTGGGTGGAGTTCTGTCTTTATCTGATCACCACAATCAAGCATTACCTGATTTAACCATCACCAATTAGAAATTCTAACATTGGTTTCTACTATGATTTCTACTTTATGACGTTTGCAGTAGACATTCCTTGTGTATTGTTTATTCCTTTAACTTTGGTTTTATTCCTTTCTAGCCCCCTCAAATGGGCTCCATGACCATGATGACCCAGCCCACCATGATGTACACTCAGCCTGTGATGCGGCCGGCCAATCCCTTCGGCCCAGTCTCAGGGGCACAGGTATGATCTCTCACACAATGAGGTTACAAATCAATTGACCCTCAAACAATCCAATTTAGAAGTCTTAAGGTCTGGTCACATGTTTAGCGAATGTTCGCAGATGAAATCTAGTAATTTTTAATAATTTTGCATTGACCAACGGAGTCTCTGTGTGAGTCCTTTTAGTTGGCGAAATTTTGCTAATGTGACCACACCTTAATACAATCAAATTAGTCCTTTTCAGAGCACAGTAGCATCCATAGGTCTCCGCTTTTTGATAAATGTTTTTGCATTGATCCCGCCCCATGATTCTTCTTGTAATAGAGCCATCCGCTCAACCCTGACTGATCAGGCTCTATTCTAGAAGCGGCTCCATTCAGAATGCGCTCTAGTTTGTTCACCTTCATGTACCATCGCAGCGCAATTCTGAATATGAAAGCTAGCATTGTGGCCGTCACACATCTCTGGGGATGGATATGTATTCCACACCGCACCAAATTCTCAGCTCGAAATACATATCGTGCCCCCCGCCACCCCTGCTTCATTTCTGCTATAGTGTTAGCGCAGGAAATTGGTACCATCCCGCAGCGGCCTTGCAGAACGAGAAGGACTTTAGTGGCTCTCTTTTTCTTGAAACTCTCTGTTATTCTCTAGCCTGTCTGGCTCTGAATTGTCCTCTCGTGTGTGTGTGTGTGTCTTGAGTGTTTCCTAGCTGTCCTCGAACCCCTTCAATCTCTCTCGTTCTTTCTGAACTAGCTCTCTACAGCCTCTAGTCCTTCCAGTTCGAGTCCTCTCAGAGCTCCGGGACAGGACCCTTTTGCACAGCTGTCTCTGAAGGATTTCCTTTAGAGCGTCTTTAGGTACAGCATGTCTGCTGTGTGTGTGTGTGACAATCACTAGCTTTAACGCGACTACGGGGAAAGTCAATGTGACTTTAACACGGCTTCACTTTTTTCCATGGAATGCGAAAAGAGGGATCAGGGAGAGATTTGGGTGGAGTTCTGTCTTTATCTGATCACCACAATCAAGCATTACCTGATTTAACCATCACCAATTAGAAATTCTAACATCGGTTTCTACTATGATTTCTACTTTATGACGTTTGCAGTAGACATTCCTTGTGTATTGTCTGTATTTATTTATGATTTACCCACTGAGGACATGAAAGAAATGAATAATCTTTTTTTTTTTCTTTTGAACTCTTCCTTACGGGAGGTGTTTCGAATTATGCGTTCATATGGGTATGATTGGTTGTATAATTCGGATTTTGAGTGACTGAATTATGAAAAAATATATATAATATAAAAAATGGGGGAAATGGACACCTATAAACTGACTGATACAGCACTAAGTATTCTCAGAAGCTGTTGTATGTCTAGTGCAATTTCTTTGTAGCTCAAACGCTCACCGCCCTCCATTCGTAACGGACATAGGATCAAATATACAAATCATTATGCCACATAGTCAGTTCTGTGCCCCAGAGAGGTGGGTGGGTTTTCGTGAGGGAGCATTTAGCAAAGCACTACATTTGTGATTCAGCCTCTGAAGGATTTCCTTTAGAGCGTCTTTAGGTACAGCATGTCTGCTGTGTGTGTGTGTGTGTGATTGATCGACAGGAGCTTCTTGCTTTATAACAGTGTTTGTGTTTCTATTGCAAAAACTCACCCCAGTTTTTCTCCATGTGCTGCAATACTAATGTTTTCTATATACATCAGTATAATGTGATTTGTAACAATTCAGCTTCAGTAGAGCCAATCTCTTGAAGTTCATTACCCAATCATGCATGCTTTTGTTCTGTTTCCCTTATTATTTAAAGGGGTCATATCATGTGGAATCAAATCTTTTGAATTCACGATGTAATGGAAGTAGCAACAGATCTTTCTTCTGAATTATGACTTGCATCCGAGTGTTGTCGTGGATTATTGAAACAAATGTAGGGTTGGACTCTGGTTGATTGGATGGCAGCAGAACTGAATGTGAACTTGTAATAGTCAGTTGTAGATAAGGTAAATATTCATTTCATGCCATATTTTAAACTTCCTCCCAGTCCAAAAACTGTATTTATCGAAGCTAAGCAGCTAAAATGATTCGTTTCGAACTTCTACAACTTGGACCATCCAGTCACAGTGAAATATTAAGGAGAAAGCTGAATATATGCTGTTATTCCACCAGAATACATCATAATGATAGAGGTTTTGAAAGTTTTAACTGTGTCTAGTTGTGAAGCACTGCCACTCCCTGAATTCTTCTGCAGAATTCGTTTTAAACCACAACAAGGACCCTGATCATTTTATTCGTCAAATCATTAAATGTGACGTGCCACATGTCGGCATGGATTGTTTCATGAATCTGTCAGAATATGATGCAGAGGCTGATATCTGCTTCTCAATAATCAAAAAAGCTTTTGTAACAGTTATTACTATGCTAAGCTAGTAGGCTAAGCTTTTAGCTTGCTAACCAAAGGATATTACACAAAAAAGGAAAATGTCTCGGCCTATATGATCACCTTGGGGTCTTGCACGACAGGGTAAATGTAAGTTTTGACATGCGTTAAAAAGTTTCATCCTTGTCTGGTGTCTGTGCTAATACTCCCTCTAAATTATGAGAGCTAAAAATGTCTTTACACGTTTTTAAACTAGAGTATCTCTTAACCTCATAACGCAAGAGTCTAGTGTTGTTGTGGCCTCCAGTAGTTTGTTGTTGTTTTTTCTTCTCCGTTTCTTTTCCAACTGTGAATCAATGACCCATCTGTGAGCATCTGTGGTTTAAAAAAGTCTGTATAGTACACGTATTAATTCTAAGCATTAGTTTTCGTACAAATAAAACTTTGGGGAAAAAGTGACATGACCCCTTTAAGTTTAAGTTTTAATCCTTTTCATAGTAGGTTATCCTGAGTTGCAGATTCATAAACTCATCTCATCATTTATTGGCTGCTTTATTGGAAACATTTGCATATTCAGTTCATTTAGTGACATTACGTACAATTACGATGGTCAGTCAATCATCCAAAAAGACATTCAAACTTGCTGTCCTGGACTTGGTATAAGATGTCATAATGTGTACGTTCATCACAATGTGTCAAATATACAAAAATTTTCTAAAATGAAGCATGACTGTGTATCAGTAAATGTGCATTTCTCTGATTCCAGATGCAGTTCATGTAGGTGAAGGAGGGTCGACGCTTCCCAAGAATGAATTACTTTTACATTTGACAGTTATATGGCTGCCTTTTCAACCTGAATGTGCAGAGTCGCCTTCGTTTTCGGGCCATCCGGGAGGAGAACAGTTGTGTGTGTGTTTGTGGGTGCGAGTGTGTGAATGTGAGCGAGAAACGCAGGTTGCTGTCGGTATCGGGATGGGGTCGGTAGTGTCTAGCTGTAGGTCCAGTGGAGTGAAGAAAGGGGACGCTGTTGATCAGTGCCCGTGTACATAAAACAGGCCCAGTCCAATAGGGAAGTACACAAAAGGTGGTCCGAATATGAGGGCGATTCTATCCATTGATTTAGCATATTTACTGCATCATCCCTGCAGATTATATTTTGTTTATATGACAAAAAAAAATGAAGCAGAATTTGGGTGATTTTCAAATAAAGTGCAGCTTCCACAGAACTAAGTATGTGTGTTTGTTTGTTATTTTTGTGTTGTGTTTGTGTGTGTATAATCATATTTATATCACATACATACAAAGTATTACTTATAAATTATTTATTGCTTTATATATTTTTTGGAGTGCATAAATTGTTTGCCGTTCCCGTTTTAATTATTATCCAACAGCTGCTGAATTTCACAGGTGTCGTTTACAGAATTATGCATACAGTATAATTTATTATTATTTTGAGTGTATATATTATTCGCCATTTGTAATTCAATTTTTATCCAACTGCTGAATTTCACAAGTGTCTTTTATGGATTCATCAGCTTCTCCAGACTGTGAACTTGACTGTTTAAACTTTCTATGGATGATCTCTGTTGTAACCGGCCACCTTTCAGTTTGTAGCAGGTCAAAGGTCATCTCCTCGCCCATATCCGCGGGGTCATTTGGTTGTGGGTGCAGGGGGTATGCTTTACCTATCACCCACAGCAGCTTCTGCTCCAGCGAGCCCAGATGCGTCGGCCCCTTTACACAAACACAAACACAGCACGTTAAAACGGCTTCCAGTTTGGCTTCACTAACAAGGGTAGTGACTGTTCCCCATCCCTACTTGTTTCATCTATATTCTAGCCCTTGAAGCCTGGAAAAGGCAGTGGGAAAATCACAGACGCTCTTTTTCCACAGACCTTATCTTGCTTATGTGCCACTGAGAAAGCCTTTTCAAGATTTGCTGCCTTTGGCAGAGGTCCTTTCTGGGTATTTTGCCTGATAATATCTCAAACATAAGCACAGAGGGCTCGTCTGAGGTGGCGTGTCATTAGTCATGAATTCGTTGCTAATCAAAAATTAATGATTGTTTATTGATGCTATCTTCACCCGTAATGTGACTAGGTGGGGCGAACACAGCTAGTATTGTCCATACCGTGAAATCAGTCTGACCGCTGAACATTTCGCTATAGTCAGGTGGGGTGGAAGTTGTTGTGCTACCAGAGACGGTCACATTGCTTTTCTGTTGAGCCCCTTCGACTTCTGTTAATGGCTGGAGGGGATACCGGGGTCTGTCGAGCAGATCTGGAAAGGAATAGGCATTATGGGTGATTAATGTCAGCTATTTGATGGCCAACGTCAGTGTAGTATGTGTAGCTGTTAGCTGCTGCACTCAGAGGCCATTAAGTTTAAACTGCTGAGGACATGAAGTTTTGAGCGGTAATGAAAACACAGCTGCCCTGTAAAGTGAAAAAAGTGAAAGTGAAGTGACATGTGGCCAAGTATGGTGACCCATACTTGGAATTAGTGCTCTGCATTTAACCCATCCAAAGTGCACACACACAGCAGTGAACACACACACCATGAACACACACACGGAGCAGTAATGTATTGTGGGTATAATGACAAGACTTCCTCTACTTTGAGAGCCATTAGTGAGGGCTGAACAGTGCCAGTGGCAGCATTCAGAGTCACCCATCCTCCGTATAACCTGCTACTGGGCTGTGGTGTGTGTGTGTGTGTGTATATATATATATATATATATATATATGTATATGTATGTGTGTGTGTATGTGTGAGACCCTGGACCACAAAACCAGTTATAAGGTTAAATTTTTCGAGATTTATACATCATCTGAAAGCTGAATAAATAAATTTTCCATTGAAGATACAGCTATTTGAAAATTTGGAATCTGTGCAAAAAAAAAAAAAATCTAAATATTGAGAAAATCGCCTTTAAAGTTGTCCAGATGAAGTTCTTAGCAATGCATATTACTAATCAAAAATTAAGTTTTAATATATTTACAGTAGGAAATTTACAAAATATCTTCATGGAACATGATCTTTACTTAATATCCTAATGATTTTTGGCATAAAAGAAAAATCTATAATTTTGACCCATACAATATATTTTTGGCTATTGCTACAAATATACCCGTGATTTAAGACTGGTTTTCTGGTAGGTATGTGTGTGTATATATATATATAGTTTCATGATTAGCTGAAAGTTTTGTACTTGGGATCATTATTAATGTCTTGTTTTGTTCATTGTTTGCTGGCAAAGAAGAGTGGTAATCAATCAGAGCTTGTCCGTTTGTTATGGAAGCCCGTTTCTGCCACTGAATAAAAAATAAAAGCAGTAATTGCGACTTTTTATCTCACAATTCTGACTATTTTTCTCAGAATTGCGTGATACAAACTCACAATTCTGACTTTTTTTTCTCAGAATTGCGTGACATAAACTCGCAATTGCGAGTTAAAAATTCATAATTGAGAGATATAAACTCGCAATTGCGAGGAAAAAAGTCAGAATTGCGAGAAAAAAAGCCATAGTTCAATTAGGACATTTAAGTAATTTTTATAAACATGCTTTAGAAAAAAACATCAATGGTGTACATCTTAGGACAAAACAAGGGCACTGACGTATTTTAAGATCAATCAGTGCACGTTTCTTTCAGTTGAAACAGCTCAGACTTAAATTTTAGTCTGGGACTAGGTTTAAGTCTTGTCTGTCTGTGAAACCGTGGGTTAAGAGTATTTCCTATGAGCTTTTAGAAAAAAAAATTTTGCTTTTTATTTTGCAGATAAAATCCAGTCATTTTCAGGAGAATCTGTGTAATTGGGAGTTTTGTGTGAGTCGTGTAATTCTGACAGAATGTGACAGATCAATCAGTGCACGTTTCTTTCAGTTGAAACAGCTCAGACTTAAATTTTAGTCTGGGACTAGGTTTAAGTCTTGTCTGTCTGTGAAACCGTGGGTTAAGAGTATTTCCTATGAGCTTTTAGAAAAAAAAATTTTGCTTTTTATTTTGCAGATAAAATCCAGTCATTTTCAGGAGAGTCTGTGTAATTGGGAGTTTTGTGTGAGTCATGTAATTCTGACAGAATGTGACTAGAGAAATGTTTTGCGTTTTCAACATATTAGGCTTACAAATAAGACTGAATGTGAACATATATTTTGCTAATAATTCAAAATGATTACTATCCAAGTAGAAGAAATAACAGACCTAGAATTTCCTTCACTCTTGAATTTAAGGGTCCAGCACTAGGGAGTAACCATTATTGAGGGATTTCTCCTGGTATTTTAGTGTTTCAGTATGTCTACTGTTATAGTGCCATCTATTGGTTATAAAATGTCAATGCAAAATAATTATAAAGCACCATGTGTTCAAGTTAAGTCTTTTTATTCTTAGACTGATCACTGCTATTATTAGGCATGTTTGGATTACCTGACCTTTCCTCAGGGCTTATTTTCATTATGTTCCTGTTCATATTGTGGGTATCATGGGACCCAAGGCTAGCAGGTTGCGCAAGAAACTCATTGCCTGGGCTGAGGGAAACAAGATCCAAGATCTCCTCTTCTAACTTATGGACGGTGGATTCCAACACTGCGACCTTCTCGTTGTATAGGGGAACCTGATATGGACGATTAGCGGCATTGTGTAATCTTTGCATGTACAATAAGATGCATGTTATATAGAACCGAAAATGTGACCACACCTGTTTTTTCAGCCAATGCATTTCTTTGATCTCTAGTTTACTCATGTTATCAAGGTTTTCGTTTGCTCTCTGAAACATAAAGACCGTTTCAGTACCTCAGAACAGACGTATTATTCACAATTCAGACAACAATAAGGTGTTCATAGTTACCTCAAAGGCGAGCTGAATTCCATCCTTTAAACTCTGTGCTACTTTTTGCTCAGTTTCATTGATAGCCGCAACCAGAGATCTCTGAAAATATTCTGGATTTTTTATATTAAAATGTTATTCGTTTTAAAAAGAACATTTATTTTTATTTAGTAGTACTGTCCTGAATAAGATGTTTCACATAGCAGATGTTTACCTATAGTCCATAAGACAAAATATTAACTGAAATTTTTATGAAGTCATCCTTTTTTATATATATATATATATATATATATATAAATTCAGATATATATTTGTCCTGTGGGCTGTATGTAAACATCCATTATGTTAAAAAGCATATTTAGGGTAGTGATTAATAAAACAAGAAACATTTTTTACATTATTATTATTAGCGTTCTGCAAGATTACTGTAAACTTATGACCACAACTGTATAGTATTTTATATTTAAACATAATGAATATTTGTGTTCTGAGTGAAGTAGACGATGGAAAACACACACCTGATATCTCCTGAAAAGTCCTTTGTGTTAGGGTAATATCTTTTTCCAGTTTCTGTATCTTTTGCTGGTCTTTAATGCTGCCTTCATTCTTATACTGAAGCCATACCTGCTGTTCCTCCTGCAGTTCCTTCACTTGCACCTGCAGCCTTGCAAGCTTACAGCGCAGTTCTGTATAAACCACACAAGCAATTTTTAAAGGTGTTCACTAAGGTACAGCAATGTACTTTTATGATTTATGTATCACACATAACCATAAAACTAGTACATACTGCACATGTTGTGGGCTATATTACTTTTTTTTTCTGTAGCTGTAGCTTTGTATGGTTGATTCCCTGGAAAGTCTGTGGCTTAAAAACTCGTGAATGAATCATTCAGATTGGTTTTATCAACTGAACCATAAGTTTTATTGAGAAGATCTGACTCTTGATCTGATTCTCATGAACACACCAACACAAAGCAATCATACATGGCTTTAGATGATATTAGGAATATAGCTCACAAGTCATATTTAATTGTGTAATGTTCTTTTATGGTATTTTGCATCTTTTTTGAAGCTTGAAAAGTGGGAACATTGTAAAAAGCCATTTACTCACCCTGGTGTTGTTCTAGTGCCATATACACTTCTTTCTTTTTCGGACAATAAAAAAAAAAATACAACTTGTGCTCTTTCTATATAATGGTAGTGGAACGCGAACCGCATAAAGCTTCTTCTTTTTTTTCTTTTTCTTTTTTAAACACAAAAGTATCACTGAATGTTCACCGAGTTTTCTGGGTGTATACAAGAAGCGAAATTTAATGTAATATTTAACATAAAAATAAAATCCTGGTCTTATGTACAGGACTGCATGTTCATGAGACAATTAGCGCTGCCGTTCACTCAGACTTGTCAGTATTAAGTTAAACAGTGATATTAAAATGTATCTTCTTGCTTCTACACAGTATGTATTATTAATAAGGTGGTCTTTAATATTTGGTATATTAATATTTAAAATGTGGTCTTTAATATCATTATCTGAGTAACGTTACACGAATCCACTCCTGAAATATGGCTTTAGAATATGCTGAATATAGCGTTTGAGTCATATGGAATTGTTTTATATTAATTTATGGTATTTTTGCATAATTTTTCAAACTTGAAAGATTTGGTTAGAACATGAGGGTGAGTAAATGATGAGAGTCATTTTTGAGCAAACTATTTCCTCAAAACATTGTTATTGCCACTCAAGTACCTTCTAGTTCTTTCTCTTGCTTGTGTTTTAGCTCCAGATTCTCCCGGGCCGTGCCCTCCACCTGCTCTTCATCTTCTCGCTGCCTTTGCTCCAGGTTCCTCTCCTGTTCCTTCATCTTTTTCTGCAGTTCACGCACATGGCCTCTGTGCTCTTCTCTCAGCTGCTCCTGCTGCAGACACGTGTTTGAGTTTAGTCTTCTTTCGTCATCATCTTCACAAACATAATGTTGACACTTACCAGCTTTATCAGTTTTTTCTTCTTATCTTCTAGTTGGCATATTTCTTCCTCAAAATCTTGAATCTCTTCCCTTTTAACCTGAATTCTATTAGAAATAAAGATATTAGACTCACAAGAAAAGGCAAAGCAGTGAGGAATGGATAGACAATATTAAGAACCGTACTAACTGGAACTGTATGAAGGTCTCTGACAGAGATGTTGTATCTAATGTCTTGCTCATTTTCCCTTATGCCAGGAAATTATCATATTTAATATGAAAAACAAACAAAAACAACAGCATTTATTAAACTTTCAAAGAGACGGTGTTAAGATAACAATCTGTGGGGGTGAGAAAGCAAACAATATTAGCCTACCTGTGAGCTGCGTTTTCTTTTTTTATTCTACGAATTTACTTTTAATTTTCCGGATATGTTTACACGTTGTTAAGGAAACCAACTGCCGCTGTGAACTCGATCAGCAGGGGGCGACAATTCAAGGACGTACGTTTATAAATTTTATTCTGAATCTGAACGGTATGAAAAATTTCATATCCTCAGAAAAAAAAGCTTTGTGAATTTACAATTTTTTCATGTCATTACATTGTTTAGAGCATAATAAAAAAAAATGAAAAATGATATTTTGTTCATATGTTATGCTATGTCCTCTGTAGAGGACACCAAAATAAAATGACATGAATAGACATAAAAAGTAAAAAACAACGGGATTTTTTTTTTAAATCACCAATCAATTTTAAGGTTTCAGGATTTTTTTTTTAAACCAAACTTTGTATAAAGATGATTCTCAACTGTTATAAAAGATATAACAGAATGCTTTGATATGCCATTTTGCTTTAGGCTATGCAATATGTGTGTAAAATTTCCATAAACTGGTTTTCCCACACAATGTTATCTATACACTGTATCTAATTTGCATATTGCATATCATACATGCATGGTGAAAAAAGAAGTGTAATAATGGGAGTCATATTTGGCCAGATTTTCATACTAATATCTAATATTTCATAAGAATATTGATATATAATTTATTTTGCTATTCAATTGTTTTGTCTCCCAAAATGTGTAATAAACATGCTTTTAGTCCTGGTATCCTCTACAGTGGACATGTATGAAATGATTTCATAACAGGAAGTCATATTTTGATTTGAAACCCCATAACATTTTCCTGAGATATGCTGATTTATGACAATTAATCAGATTTAAATGATAATTACAAAATATTATCATATTTCCATAAGGATGTACAATTTTGTCACTAAATTAATGTCAGCCATCTTTAAAGACCAAGGAGAGGGAGTGGCCATGGTGAACCATCCAAACATTTGGTATCTCTGGAAAAGCCCTAAATGTGCTCTTTACAGGACATCCAGACTTAAAACTGTGACATGCATGGTCTCAGAGAAATTCACTAAAATATAATGTCCACTACAGAGAAAAAACTCCATAGCTGGGTCTCAGGAGGATACATAAAAGCACATTTGGCAAAACTAAATAAAAAAAAAAAATGTTTTTTTACTACTGAGTTTGCTTTGTTTATTTGACATTAATAATAATACATCTGAATATAGCAAACAAATTGTACATTCTGATATTCTGATGTATTATTATAATTAGGGTGTAACAGCTGAAAGTCAGGGAGGTCAGAACGAAATAAAACGACTCACGTTCATTAAATAGTCTGAATCACAGGGAGTGGAGAGACAGAATGAAGGTTGTAGGTAGTGACGTTATAGATTATGTTTAATTTGTATACATAGGTTGCGTATTCAAGGATACACAGGATTTTCTGTGGTGCTATCGAGAGGACATTTAATGACATAATGATGTATATGGCACGTGCGTGTGACAGGATTAAAAGTTTATGAGAGTGACAGAGCGTGACCACGCCTTTATGAGCGCGCACAGGGGATTTGTGTCAAAACTTAGTGAACCTCCTGCCTAGACAGCGTTTTGTGGATATCGTTCGGAACTCCCCACGAGTTAATCAACAGCATTTTTAGCTCTTACTAGTTGTTCACACACAACCAGTGTGCACGCGAGTTCTTGGAGTGGAGGAGCCCACACACACACACCCACCGGTAAACACACGCCTCACTTTAAAGCTGGATATTTAAATAATTTGTTTCATATCAGCAAGTTTCTGGCAAATGGATTATTACACTCCTCTGGTCTTTTCAGATGTTACAGTAACAGTGTTGGAAAATAATGCGGTCTAGTAGCAGCCACGCGAGCAAGACTCAGGTAAACTTTTGCTTGTCAGTTGTTTTATTTTTACCTTAATAGATACTGTTTTACTTTTTAAGGCTTTAACTTCACTTAACAATTTCCCTGCTTTGAGTTGGAAGTTCTGCTGCATGCTCTGACAGGGATGGGTTCTGTTTCAACAGGCGCTCATTTCATTATGTTGTTTTCATGTCTGGAGTTTTGTGTTTTTATCTCTGGAGCCACTGCGATTTTTTTATTTATTTTTTCTCATTTCCTGCTTCCTTAATCTGTTAATTCTTGTAAAGCTATTTAGAGAAAGAATGCGGAGTATTTATTTACATCCAGATCAGACAGTGATTAGTTAAATGAGTGCTTCTACAAGGGATCTGTGTGAAAGGCCATTTTATTCCACAGTAACATTACAAAAACCCATCTTAAAATAAATAA